TTTGGCTGCTCAATGCAGCTCAGAACTCAGGGGCTTGGAAGGAGCATCTCAGTGGTGACGGGGCTTGTGTGGCTCCTGCGCCAGCAGGGTCTCACTGTATATCCCAGGCCGGCTGGGATCAGAACTGTTCGTAGCAGAGTCGGGCCTCAAACCTTTGATCCTCCTGCCTCAGACTCCTGAATACTGGGATTGTGGGCACGTGTGATGCTCTTCATTTTCTAAATTTATTTGTCCCTCTTTCCCTCTTAGCAGGAAAAAACAAACAAACCAAAACGAAGGCGGAATGAATGAGCGCCCTCTTAGAATCTGCCACCTCTCCCACCAAAGTGTCTGGTGAGCAACTCAGTAACAGCCAAGCATTTGACATCCTGTCATTGGACTTGCTACTTCCCCCCAACCCTACAGCCCGCAGTTTTCTCCAGGTGTGGGGTTCTAGAGCTCTGCTCCTGTCCCCGCCCAGGCCCTCAGAAGTGAGAAACAGCAAACAAAACCAATATAAGCAGTGGCCTAAGTGGGCAGCAAAGAGCAGGCCCAGGCTTCTGCAATGCACCATTCACACTTAGGCTGCACCAAGGAAACTGGGAACTTACCATGGTTGTGTTTAAAGTCGGGTTTGGAGTGTTAGACCTCATTTCTCCTCCATTACCCTGCTTACCTGACACTGCACATAGGCATTCTAAAACAAAACAAAACCGAAACCCCGGCTCATGAATAACTCTGAGTGAAGCTGTTTGTGTGTTCTGCAAGTCTAGCAACCTGAGGGAATGTGCCAGCTAGTCTTATATCAACTTGACCTCAATTGAGAAGAGTCCGCCATAGGATCCAGCTGTAAGGCATTTCCTTAATTAGTGATTGATGGGAGAGGACCCAGTCCATTATAGGTGGTGCCATCCCTGGGCTGGTGGTCCTGGGTTCTACAAAGCAGGCTAAGCAAGCCATGAGAGCAAGCCAGTAACATTCGTCTGTGGTCTCTGAATCGGTTCCTGCCTCTAGCTTCCTGCCCTGTCCTGACTTCCTTCGATGATGAACAGCAATGTGGAAGTTTAAGTCAAATAAACCCTTTCCTCCCCAACTTGCTTTTTGGTCATAGTGTTTCATTGCAGCATCAGAAACCCTAAGACAGGTAGATTCCAATTCTAGGGCAAAAGTCATAACTGGTCAATATTGCTGGGATAGTGATAAAGGATTGCATAAATTTGGTACAGACAAAGAACATTCTGCAGCAATTTTGTAGCCAATCATGTGCCATATGCTTTTAATCCAAGCACTTAGGAAGCAAAGGTGAGTTTAAAGGCTGGGCTGGTCTACATCATAGAACCACAGGCCAGTTAGGGCTAAATAGTAAGATGCTGTCTCAGCAACAACAACAAAAATTTTTTTAAGAGTATTTATTGAGGGCTGGCCAGATGGTTCTGTGAGTACCGGGTAAAGGCATTTGCTGCCAAGCCTGATCGTCTGAGCTTAATCCCAGATCCACATGGTAGAGAGAGGTAAGTAGTTCCTGCAGGCTGTCCTCTGACCTCCACAGGTAAGCAACACACACACCCAACACACATACACATATATATGTAAGATAAAATAAGTGCAATATAGATCTTTATTTATATATAAATATAAACATAAAATACAAATCAAAATATTGAGACAAAATTTTTTACAAGGTGAAACTGTCATAAAAGTGTGCAGAGTGTATCATTTCTGTGAGAAAAATGTGTAAGCATGCATAACAAACTACAGAAACAGTGTTTTCCAAAGTTCTTCAGCAGATGCATCAGTTTTGTGAATAGTTTTGAAAAAGTGCAAGGGTTGCTGGCTAATGCGTGCGAAGGGAAGAAACACAGGGCGGCCCTAGGCATGCGCCTTTTGAAAGGGAGGCCTGGATTCAGAACTCACTTTCTCCCTTGCTGGTTTCTTGCTATAAGATGCTTTAGCAGTCATAATAACAAACAAACAACTAAAGATGGTGAGGATGTGGACAAAAAGCAGCCCTTACCCACTGCTGGGAATATAAGTGAGTTCACTGTGGAAATCGATATGGCGAATCCCCACAAATTACACATAGGCCTGCTATGTGATGCAGCTACACCACCCCCAAGTATTACTCAGAAATCCCACGTCAGCAAATCACAAGGAAAAGCGCACACCCATTTTACTGCAGCACTGTTCACAACAGCTCGGTCAGGGAACCAGCCTGTTTGTACATAAACAGAGAAGTAGTGTGTGGGAAGATGTGGGATCCTTACAACCACGAGGCGTGGGAGGCTGGAGAGGTGGCTTCCTCTGAGAGCACGAGGACCTGTCCTGGAACCTCCAGGACAGCGGGACACAGACTTGAGTCCAGCAACCCCCACACTAGGACACGTAGATCTTCTGACATAACAGTGAGCTTCCGGTTCAGTGACAGCCCATCCCAAAGCAAAAGGGTGGGAAGCGATACAGAACACGCAGCATCTTACCCTGTCCTCTACACACATGTGGTGTGCAAACACCCTCGGACACACCACACATACAAAAACAACACACACAAAGATTACATTTAAAAAACAGAGCTCACATTTTCTCTTATGTACGGATGAGACACCATCTGGAGCAGCTGTTTCTCAACCTGTGGGTCGTGACCCCAGATTGAAGAACCCTTTCACAGTGGTCACCTAAGACCATCAGAAAATATATTTACATTATGATTCATAACTGTAGCAAAATTACAGTTATGAAGCAGCAATGAAAATAATTTTATGGGTAAGGGTCACCACAACGTGAGGAAGTATATTAAAGGGCCGCAGCATTGAGAACCACTAGACCAGAGAAACAAAGAAAACTAACGGAAGGGAGTGACGTGGTCAGGGCAGTGGCTGTGAGGGGAATAAGCTTAAAGCACATTGCAGATTTGCAATGAAGATGGTCTCCAGTAGCTCTGTATAATACAATGAAAATTCCTAAAAGAAACAGAAATAAATTCTTTAGCTTTCTGGGTACCTAACAAACTACTTGACATGTTCTTATGCATTTAGGTTAAAATAAGGTGGGAAGACCTAAGGATGCAGCTCAAGGGCACGGTGTTCATCGAGAATGCACAAGACCCTGGTGGATATGCAGGACTTGGAGGGGATGAAGGAAGGGAAGGCAACCAGGCAGATAGCAAATGGACGGACAGACAGTGTATGGAACGAAGAAAAGAAGGAAGAGAGGGAGGAAGAGAGGGAATAAAATTTTGTGTAAAACAAACCATGCTCATAAATTTGTATTTCTTATGGTCTTTGTGGACCTGTGAATAAATGCTGGCTGAGGTCTCAAAGTCTGTGACATCTAAGAAGGTGCTTTAGTTTATTTATGTGGTCCTATCACTTCAATTCTTCCCCAAACTCACTTACTTGGTAGAGTATGGATAGTATATATGGTAGTATATTGGTAAAGCCTTTGGGGTATAGTAGGGATCATGAAGTCAGGAGGGTGGGAAACCTGAGTTTGTTTACTTGTTCTCTCCCTGCCATGGCATGATACAGTTCAGCACCTCAATATTCAATTTCCAAGCCCCCAGCACTGTGAAAAAGTGACTTCTGCGTCTTATAAATTACCTAGGACTTGACCTTTTATAATAAAAGCAAAAGCTGGGACTAAGAACAAAGTGTCTGGGTACAGTTATTCCTGGAAACAGTATTAACCCTTTCAGGTGCATCTGTAAATGACCACTACAGGGCACTAGATGTTTCTGTAGGATGGAAGGGGTTCGTTCCATTTACTCTTGAGGGATTAGGAGTAAATGAACCTCATAATTCTGCTCACTACTTTAAAAGCTAGGGTAATCATATAAAATTCATACATACTAATAGACAGTCATGATGAAATAATGTTTGACAAAAGGAAAAACTGACAAACTTGAAGAGATAAAAATGAGTAACAGAAGAAACATCTGTAAACACATTACATATATAATGCAACAAATAGACAAAAGTGTTGTCATGGAACTGCACTGAAAAGAAAGTCAACAACTCTTTGTAATACAGTGTATTGAAACAGACACTTTGAGACGTGCCTGCTTTGGGGTCGAGGAATGTAGCCCAGCAGGTAGAGTACCTGTCTACATACATGAAGACCTGGCTTGATCCCCAGCACCACATAAACTGGGTATGATGGTGGATATGATCATCCTAGCACTTGGGAGGTGGAGGCAGGTGTATTACATCTTCAAGGTCATCCTGGACTACACAGTAGGTTCAAGGCCAACCTGGGCTATGAGATTCTCCCTTTAAAAAAAAAGGCAAATATTAGCTCTCCCAGTCAAATTAATGACAACAATGCTCATGCAGAAATCAAGGTAACATTTTCATCCCTTTTTTTGGTTGTTGTTGTTTGTTTTTTTGGTTTTTTTTTGTTTGTTTGTTTTTTTGTTTGTTTTTGAGATAGGGCTTCTGTGTAGTCCTGGCTGTCCTAAAACTCACTCTGTATACCAGACTGGCCTCAAAATCAGAAATCTCTTGCCTCTACCTTCTGAGTGCTAGAATTAAAGGATTTCATCTTCGTAAAGCCCCTCTTACACGGTAAGAAAACTAGGCACTAACACACAGGGGCTGCTTCCTTCAGACCCCAGTGTGCTGGCACCTGCCTGGCAGTGTTTACAGATGGCAGACAGCAATCATCTAGTTGGAGCTCCCACCCGGTTCACCCAGTGTCAGCTGTAACTGCAGTAAGCTGGAGTAGTCATACCTGGCCTTCCATAGCTGGTGTGTCACTCTCCAAGCAAAATAGACAAAGTTCACATCTCAGAGACAAGAAGTATCCACGTGCCTTCCAGTCCCTGGACTGATGATCCTCAGCTCCCAGGGCATCATACAACACAGAACTAAAAGCTGCAGCATCCCAGTGGGCCAACACATAGGACACTGTAGCCCCAACCAGTATAAACCCTGCTTGTTCACACCATGAACTGACTACTTCAAAGGATCACAATGTGGAAGACAGTTTTGTTTGATGATAAGAAGGTTTTCTTAATAACAGGGGAATAAAATGTCAATAAGTTACAATTTTTATTTTTCACAAATAAAAATGACACATGACATGTAAAGGACAGTACAGTAAAACAATAACAGTAACAGGAATAAGGTCGCTATCTCATAGAGACAGAAGCCCACGAAAAACTATTATACTGATTTTTGAGAAAGACTATTAAATAAATCTAGGAATAATACTTTTAGCTAAATCAACAAATCAAAATTGAGCACACACCAAAACATCATCCACACCCAAAAGTGGTACTTAAGGAAAAGGAAAATCTGGAATTCCACATAGACGGGGCTCTCTATTGAAATCAAGGAGGCTCAAATCCTAAAACAAAAAAGGAAAAGAAAGTTAAACAATGCTCCCATGAGGTTACACAGACACATTTCTGCTTCTTTCTCTTTTCAGCTGGGGATGCAATGTGGCCTTAGGCATGCTAGGCAGTGCGCCTAGGTCAGGATGGACACTTGAACACTTTATCTGCTCAAGACATCTTCCCTTACTCTTACAGTAGTTTTATATGCTATAAAAAAAGATCACAAGGGTGGGAGGGAGAAGTGCTAAAGGTGGGTACTCAGTGGGTAAAGGTGTTGGCCACCAAGCCAGGATGAGGTGAGTTCAAACTCCAGAATGCACACGGTGGGAGAGACCAGACTTCCACAGGTACACCATTACTTTATTTTTAATTATATATTTGCATGTGGGCGGGTACTCATGCAACTGCAGCTTCTCTAAGGGTTCAGAAGACAGTATTAGAAACCCTGGAGTGGAGACATGGGCAGCTATGAACCACCCAAGTTGGCTACTTGGAAGTAAACTCAAGTCCTTTGGGAGAGCACTGGGTGCTCTATAAGAAAGGATTTGAAACCAAGTATGGAGGCTTATGCCTGTTACCCGAGTCCTCAGGAAGCTTGGATGGCAGAATGAAGAGTTTGAGGCTAGCCTAGGCCACACAGTAAGCTTCAGGCCAGTCTTGACTACAGTGAAAATTTGGAAACTTTTTAGACAGTCAGTTTTGTATTTTGCCATAATGGTCACTATTCAATCCTATAACAATATATATTCAATAATTTCAATATAAGAAAAATAATCTACTTGTTAGGCAAACTTATGTGTTATGTTCTGTTTATACACGACAACACACTGAACAATGTCTCTGAGATGGAGTTCTATGACGGGGTCTGGACATCCAACCTACCTTTCTTTAGCCAGCTGAAGGTGGGTTTAATGTAAAATGTGCCATACATGCTACCCACATGCTTTACAATACTTCTCCATTATAGAGATCAAATGTATCAGGAAACAGGTTTCCTGACCTACCCATGTCCTTCTGAGAACAACCAGACAGCACTGGAAAATTATTAACTAGAGTGACATATTAAAGGACTAAATCTTTGTAGTAGCAGATATCAACCAGGAAGACTGCAGCACCTCTCGTTCTAGCTGGGAGACCTACTAAAGACTGAAACCTGTTAGTAACTTCATGGGTAGAGCCAATCTTTGGTACTTACAAGGAGTGAGGGTTTAGGTGTTCCATCTTTTGAATTTAAGGAAGAAGAAAGGGAAGGTTAAGAACACTATTAATATTAGAGTGTTGGCACAAACTTATAATCTTATTCGGTAGGTGCAAACAAGAGAACCTGGAGCTTGAGGTCATGCTAGGAAACATAGCAAGTTCTAGGTCACTCTAAACTTTCTATGGTATCTATCTGGAAAAACCAAGAAACAGGACAGGGATGGAGCTCAGTGGTGGAGAACTTGCCTGGCATGGGATAGGCACAGGGTTCAATCCCCAGCATTGAAAACAAAAAAGAAAAGAAACAGGCCATCAACATTTAGTCACTGATGGGAAAAGAGCCTCCTCCCAGAAGAGCTATTGGCACTTGATGGCTGATAGGATGGGGGAGTCTTTGTTCTCAGCAGTGCAGTTATTGGTAATAACCCCTGTCCCAGTGGTTGGTGTCTCATCCAATGTGTCACAAAACAGAAGCAAGAAGATGTGACAATGAGAGGGGAACTGTTAGGAGGAGGGAGGCAAATCAGTGGAGGTGGGAAGTAGGTAAGAGAGGGTAGAGAGGTGAATGAGGAGAGAGGCAGAGCAGTGGGGGTGGGAAGTAGGTAACAGAGGGTGGAGAGGTGAATGTGACCAGACCAGAACGTACATACAGGTGTGAAATTAGAAGAGGAAGAGGAAGAAGAGGAGGGGGAAAAGAAAGGAAGAGGAAGAGAAAGGAGAAGGAGGAGGAGGAGGAGGAGGAGGAGGAGGAGGAGGAGGAGGAGGAGGAGGAGGAGGAGGAGAAAAACACTTTTCAAAACCAAATCAAAACTGAAACGACTATCTTGGTCCAAAGAGAGGGACAGCAGAAAGCACTTCATGGAGAAACATGTACAGCACACCTCACCGTAACCACTATACAATATTTTCCTGCTGAAAACAGTATTCTCTGAAAGCAAGGAGTCTGACAGGAAACTGCGAGAGCTTGAGCAGCATAAGAATGCTGTCAGTGGACTGAGGACACACAGACGTGGACCTGAATTCGCTGATACAGGAAGTGGGGGGCTTAGAGCACTAAATGATCTCTGAAATCTTCCTATGCTCCCACCACCTCAAAAGTCCATGAGAAACACAGAATTAAAGTGAGACAGATATGCACTTACTGATCCTCTTCTCAAACACTTATGGGTAGAACTGTGTTTTTCTAAATGTTTCATTAGTAATGCTGAGTCTTGTAAGTCTGGTTCCATAATAGTCAATAATGTAACTACTTCCATCTGAAGGTCCAACAATCTAGAAAAGACGAAAATTTAAAGTTAGCCCTTTTCCTTTACAAAAGATATGAGTTTACTTTTATTAGTAGGCAATAAAATTATTTCAGTAGACACACACAAAAAAATAAAAACAAAGTAGGTGAAGCGGAAAAAGACCCAGAGAGCTCCCAGGATAAAAAGGGGTGAGAAGAACTGGGTTCCAGTCTGCATTCTGTGCCCCTTACTCTGGCCTCCCCACGCTATGCTCTGCTTTTGTTCTCCCTGCAGGCCACCAATGCCAGCATCATGTATTCCCACAGCCTTCTCCAAAATACTTCTCTCCCTCACTATCCACACACCAGTTCCAGGAAGGGACTTTCACTGGCCTGTTTGTGGCTTATGACTATGGCTAGATATTTACAGATGAAGGGATGAGAGCCAGCATTCCCACATCATAGGAGTAGCTCTAAATGAGGAGCCTGCATATGCAACTTCAGATTAGACTATTAGAATAAAAAGATGGCTACCAAGGGACCGCACATAATACAGTACTTTGTGGTAATTAACTGTGTGGAAAAGAGTTTCCTAAGTTTCTGTCAGTATGTCAGGGTTGGCTGTTGTTTCTAAGATGTTTAAAGGGGTATTTAAAGAACACTTCTGATAATTATTAGAGTTTATTGATCGGGGGTGGGGGCGGGAACGTTTTCATGTGGGAAGAAATAAAACAGTCTGGCAAAATGTTTGGGGCCCACAGTGTGCTGGGATGGGTTCATTCCAAACGCCCAGTATGCATCTCTACCAGTCAAGGTTGTGTCACCCTGAACGCCAGTTACAATTATCTCGTTTTTCCAGAACCTTTACATAAAAACATTTCATATTTTAAGTAAAAAAATTATTATAGTTTGTAAGAGTATATTCCTTTCTTTATACAGTAACTGACATTTAAAATTTGTGGTATTTATAGTCTGTTGGGTACATTTAAAAATTGATGTAACAGTTTTATTTAAACATGTCAATATTTGAAATGACATCCTATGCAGCTATTCAAATTTATGATGGAACACTTAAATGTCAATTTAAAAATATACAGAGGGTACAGACTTAAAAATACTCTTCTAAGGGTTGTACAACTAAAGAAAGCTCTCATTAGCACTTCTCACTTCAGTGATGGCAGAGCTGGCTGCTGAGATGTGAACCTGTCCTCCTGGAGAAGAACAGAAAGGGGATTCCAACAGTGCAAGGCCAGCCAGATCCACACAGAAAGACTCTCTCACAAAAATAAACAAACATGGTCTGCAGAGATGGCACAGCAGTTACGATCAGTTGCCGCTCAGGCAGAGGACATGGCTTTGGGGACTTAACACCTACATGGTAGTTCAAACCATTCACAGCTCCGTGCCCAGGGATCTGACACCCTCTTCTAACCTTAGAGAGCACCAGGCACACACGTGGTACACATACATACGTGCAGGGAAAACACTCACACTCATAAATCTAAAAGATAAAAACAAAAAATACTTCAGTTTTAAAAAATTAATAAACAGTTCATTCAACCTCGAAACCTAAAAAGGCTGAATGCAAAAGTATGCGGCTATAAGTCCCAGATATCTGGGGTTGGGCTCTGAGGCAGGGAAACCCAGATCTTGAACACAAGATCTTGAAGCCAGCCAGGGCTACATAAATGAGAACCCATCTCATAAAAACAAAAACAACTCAACAAACACTTAATTCCTTCTCTATTTCAGGAAGGCCCCAGGCATTCTGCAGGTAACAGCGACTAAGATACCATCCCTGCCAACAGGGAGCTTCCTCTAGTGTGGATTCAACTAATTCTTACATAGCCAGACACCACGTCAGCTGCTGCTATCGCATGTTGACTTAATTCCTCAAGAGTAAATTAACTTGTCTGACATTTATGGATGCTATGTATAAAATAATAAAATAAATGACCCATTCTAAGGTGTTTTGTTCTAGCAGCTCAATACACTAAGGTCCTAAAGGGAGACAAACACTGCCTAATAAGCCACTACTTCTAGCTTCTCCCTTGTTTGATCTGTAATTATTCTGTCTCACAGGTTTGCACATTAGTGATGCTGGTTTGAACCCCTGATTATGTACAAACAGAGGAGGTTTCAATACAATCAAACTATTTTCTAAAACAAACAAACAAACAAAAAACTCAAACAAACAAACAAACCCCAAAAAAACTAGCATTGCCTAATCTAACCCAGCACTCTAGAGTTAGAGACAGGAAGATCAGGAGTTCAAGGTTAGCCTATGCTGTGTAATACTGTCTCAAAATAAAAACAAACAAGGAGTATTGAATTTTGGATATTTTAATTTGAATAATACTAATAAAACCTAACTTCATTGCATCTTCATTTAAAAAGAGAAGTCGATCCTAACACCCATGTGCATAGGAGCCTTTGGCTCTTCAAGTCTATACCAGTTCCAAGGTTGGAGACAATATCTGGGTAGACATGTGGCTTGTGTATAAAGTCAGAAAAGTCCAACTAACAAATCAAACATTTGCACCTTTAATCCTGGTGCTCAGGAGACAGAGGTAGGTGGATCTCTGAGTTCAAGGCCAGTCTGGTGTACTGAACAAGTTCCAGGACAGCCAGGGCTGAAACACAGAGAACCCCTGCATCGAAAAACAACAACAACAAACTCCAAATATTTTCCTTGTTTAATCGGTCCATATGCTGCCCCCTTTCACATAACAAAATCAAAATCACTGAGAGCAACTGGCTTTAAAGCATGACAGTAACAGCAAGCAGCGGACCTGGAGAGTGCCAATGCTGAACGAGAAGAAGGGCATAATGACTTAAATGCACACTGATACTCTTACTGAGGACACTAGGTGCTCTGGAAATGCTTGCCCAAGCGCTGTCTGCCAATAGCCATCCTTGCCTCTAACAGAAGAAGCCTCATGAGCAATCACAGCAGCTTGGTATTTAGCAGGGAACATCTGGTGGCACTTCAAGTGCTTAAGGACAGCATCTCATAAACTGTCAGTCACCAAACCCTCTGTAGCATGAGAAGGTGAGGCTGTCACAGAGAAACAGAGAAGACATCTCACGAGTAGAAAATGTAAAATCTGTTGGATTTGGTCTTGCTTGAGGCTATCCCCACTACTAGAAACCATGTGGAGTACCCAGCATACACTCCTTTGTTAATCCAGTAAATTAGCCTGATTACAATTTCTGTTATTTGCAGAGTGCAATTTGTAGAGAATGCCTATATACTTCTAAAGAAAATCTTACCTCTGCCTCTAGAATGTTCATATGTGTACCAAAATCCCATCAATGGATCCTATTTTGGTAATTGACAAGGTGAACATGACTGTCAGGCAAATAAATTCTAAGTCAGAGAAATAATTGTAACCTGCCTGAGAGACTCACTACAAAATATACTGTAAAGCCGGGCGGTGGTGGCGCACGCCTTTAATCCCAGCACTCGGGAGGCAGAGGCAGGCGGATCTCTCTGAGTTCGAGACCAGCCTGGTCTACAGAGCTAGTTCCAGGACAGGCTCCAAAAACCACAGAGAAACCCTGTCTCGAAAAAAAAAAAATACTGTAAAATTATAAAGATTTCAGGAAACTCTCCAGTAAAGAAATCTCTAACTCACTTGAACCCATATCCACTGTCACCTTTGAACATACAGTCCTCCTTGAAATAAGTATCCTATGGTTTATAGAGCTACAGTTTGAGAAATGTTCACTGATACGCAACCTGATCCCTTAGCCTAGAACCCAGAAAAGCTGTAAAGCATACACACCCTTTGTTTCCTAAAGTACCTGAAGTGTCACATACACCAGGAGAGGAGCACCAAACTCCCATGTTGATTATAGTTTATGTTCCACACTGAAACTAACTTACCTGCATTGAAATAAGAATGAAATCAATTAGGCTCCCAATTCCACAAAATCCCACGGTGCAAAACTTTAGCAAGCCTAGGAAAGCACAAAGGAAAGTAATTCACAATATAGAAGGTCTTGTAAATATTTAAAATGTTTCTAGCTTTCTACCAAGCTATTACATACTGTATATAACTCTGTATATATACTGTATATAGTATGATGATAAAAAGTAGAATCTTAAAAAAAAATCAAACCTTCACATAAAAATACAAGAACATTTTAAAGGAACCTCATGTACAGAAAGTCACAAAATAGATTAGATCATGTATCAACAACAAAAATAGCAACTAAATATATATATATATATATATGTATATATATATATTCTACAAAACTTCTTTTAAAAAAATGTTTCTATCTACCCACATCCAGGCCTGGGGTAGAGCTCCGTATGTCTGTCCAGCAGGTACAGGGGTTGCAGCAACACAAACAACAGACCCTCAGCACCCCAGAGCTTCACAATACCTCTTAGTAGCAAAGCCCTTTATTAATGATCTGATCATACAAAATATATTATGCCATACAAGTTTAACTGAACAGAGTAGAAAGTTCAAATCTATACTGTCAAGCCACAAAAATGTCCAAGAAAAATAATGATCTTTAAAATTCCAAAATCTGGCCAGGCAGTGGTAGCAAAGGCCTTTGATCCCAGCATTCGGGAAGCAGAGGTCACAGGATCTTTGTGAGTTCAGGCTGGTCTACAGAGTTAGTTCTAGGACAGCCAGAACTACACAGAGAAAACCTACCTTGAAAAAAAAATACAAAAATAAGAACAATACACAACATCCAAAATTTGACTATCAACTCAAATATCTATAATTCATCCTGGATTTTTCAAGCTCCTGTTCATAACTCTATAGTAAGAGTGGCTGTGCACATCTTTAACCCTACAAATGTCCTTGGGTTTCAGGGAAGATTTTTTTTATCAGTTAAGAGCACTAACTGCTCTTGACGATGACCCAGGTTTAGTTTTGAAGACCCACATGCTGTTTCATAAGCATTTACAAGTCTAGTTCCAGTAGATCTAACCTCCAAGGACACCCGGTATATACACTGTACATATACATACAAAACACTCATACACATAAAATAAATATAATCTTAAAACCAATCCTTCTCAAATTATTCCATGAAACAGAAAACAAAGGAACACATCTGAATTATTTCTACAAAGCTAATATTACCCTGCCACCAGGTGAAGGTATAACAACAAATAAAGATCAATCTCCCTGATGAACAGAAGCAAAAATGCTCAATAAAATGCATGCAGACTAATCAAGAACACATCAAAAATATTATTCACCATGATCAAGTTGACTTCATAACAATAATGCAAGAATGGCTCAACATATGCAAATCCGACTATAAGAAATCACAAAATCGCATCAATAGATTTAGAAAAGGTCTTAACAAAAATCAACATCCCTTTATGATAAAAGTCCTATAAAGAGATTAGGATTGGAGATAGTATATCAACACAATAAAAGCTGGCAAAACTTTATGACAAAACTATAGTCAACATCATTGGAAATGGAGAATTTAAGCACTTGCACTGGTTCAGGGACAAAACAAGGGTGCTCATTTTCCCCGTGTTAGTCAATACAGTACTTAAAAGTCTTAAGGCAGTAAGACAAGAAGAGCAGGAAATAATGGGGGAACAAATAGAAAATGAAGATATCAAAAAGCATCCTTTCTTACAGATCGTATGATTCTATACATAAGCAACCCTAAACACTCTAGCCAGAAAACTCTAAGAAATGGTTTTAGAAAAGTGGCAGTATACAAAACTAACAGAGTCACTTGTGGTGGCTCACAATGGTAGAATATGCAAAAGGGAAGTAGGAAGATTAGAAGTTCAAGGTCAGTCTTAGCTACCCAAAATTAATATAGAAAATTAAGTCTTCCTGCATTTTAGTAACCGACATGTTGAGAAAAAAATCAACATGACTCCATTTTCAACTGTCTCAACAAAAAGTGAAATATCTTTTAAATAGGTCTAACCAAGAGAGTATATGACCTGTTCAATGAAAATGTAAAACACTAAAGAAAATACTAGGAAATACTAAAAGAGAAAAATATCCTATGCTCAGGGACTGAAAGAAGTAAAATTGTGAAAGACGACATCTTACCAAAGATAATCAAATTGTCCATATAATCCCAATAAAACTCACCATGTAGTTTTTCACAAAAACAGAAAGAAAACAACAACAAAACCATGTGTTTCTCTGCATGTGTGTGTAGTGTGTGCATACGTAGTCTGCTCAACTATGAGTACACATGTGGAGGACAAAGTCAACACCAGGTGTCTTCCTCTAATGGTTCTCGTTCTATTTCTTGAACCTGGGTCTCTTGCTGAGTCTGGAACTCACCATTTCAACTAAACTGGCTGGCCAATATGCCCCAGGGATATATTTATGTCCATCCCACCCCAACCCACTACCCTTCTACCCCTACTCCTTGGGGTTGCAGGTATGCCTTGCTTTGTCCAGCTTTTACGTAGGTGCTGAGGATCCAAACTCTTGTCTCATGCCTGCACAGAAAGCAATTTACCTGCTGATCCATCTCCCTAGCTCCAGAAAAGAAAAAACAAAAATAAACAAAAAAAAAAAAAAAAACCCTCAAAATTCGTATGAAAGCACAAAAAAAAGCCCAGATAGCCAAAGCTTTCCTCAGCAAGAAGAATAATGGTGGAAGTATTATCATACCTCACTTCAGCTTAGAGTCATAGTAACAATGGACTAGAGTAGAAGACCTAGGTGCCTGGTAACCCATCTTGCCAACTTGTAGCTATTTTCTTTTTTGTTTGTTTTTGTTTTTCAGATAAGTTCTATGTAGCCCTGGCTATCCAGGAGCTCATAGTGTAGACCAGGCTGGCCTTAAACTCAGAGACCCACTGCCTCTGCCTCCCAATTGCTAGGATAAAAGGTGTGTGCCACCATGCCCAGCTTTATTTTCTTTGTTTACTAAGTCAACACTGACTTTTATTTATGTACTGTAACATTAAGTTTCAAACACAGGTAACAGAAACATACCTGGCACCAACCCCACAGGGAGGACTCCTCTTTGCTCTCTGTGGTAGTAACATGGGAAGACTAGGTTGACAGTTGGGAAGTCGAGCATTCAAAAACTTTACATTTGCTCAATATGCAAGTAGAAACTTATAGCAAGTAAAGCATGATCTCCAAAGACAGAAAATTGGGGTGCATATTAAGCTAAATATCCTTGGATATATCTCATAATCTCATGACAATTTCCTTATCTATAAAAGAAAGATTATAACAAATATGTCACAGAATACAACAAAGCCTCTTGGCTCAGTAAATCCTCACTCTGGTGAATTTCCCTACTGCTGAAGAGGATTTAAAGAGGGTGATAAACATAGAGAGTTGTAAGGCTTAAATACAGGTAAGCATATGAAAAGGAAGCATAACAAAACTTATGGTCAAACATAAATGATTCCTTAAGCATTAGAAAAACCACGGCAAAAGGGAAATGTACAGCTATGGTGGAGGGATGGAGAGGGTCTTAACAGCTGATAAAGTCAGACTCTCTTCCAAGATCATGGTGATCACCAAAACACCAACCTGTCCTGAGAGCAGTTGTTTCTATATTCAGGCAACAGTGACGACTCTGGCAAAGGACACTCTTTCGGGGAGAAAGAACACACACACACACTTACTGCACAGCCACTGTGTGCCTAGTATAGCACAACAGTTCCAGTCAAGTGACAACCCTTCACCCTCGAAAGTGTTGTCCAAAAGGTGAACACACAGGAAAGGTCAGTATTGCCTGCTTTAGCTCAACTGCAGAACTGAACACTCTCAACTAAGAGAAGAATGTACCCACTCAACTCACATGTATCTTGAACACAGAGAGATTTAAACCATAAGCATATATTCATTTAACAAAAACTCTAAACAAGTTTTACAAGGATTTTATTTCTTTTTTCCATTTTAGGAAGAAGCATACTCACCTAAGGCGGGGTATCCAAGGTAAAATCGATCTGCTCCCAGCCATCCCAAAAAAAGAGATAATGCAACTGCCACTTTGTATGAATAGCCATTTCTGCAGAGAATTAAAATCTGAGTGTCACAGCCATGCACTGCTAACATGTGAACATTTTAGAAAACCAACCTGCATGTTACTACTTATTCATTAATTATTTGTTCACCCATTTGTTTTCTGGAGGCTGTGTAATTAACACTATTCTCAGCTTATGGTATATATTAATGGATAAAAACAACATAGATGCCTGTCCCTCAGAGACTTACATTGTACAGTTTGTTAGGTTACAAATATTAAGAAACAAGAAAAGGTGGAAGCGGATGTTTACTGAATCCAGAATACCAGGGTATATACAAAGTCCAGAACGCTGGGGGCTACTTAATCTGGGTGGTGAGATAGTGACGTGTGAGCAAAGACCTAAGGACCAGTTAAGCCAGGCAGTCTCTGAGGGAAGAAGCAGCTGCTGCAAGGCTGGATGGAGTCAGGGTGGGCACACCAGGGCAGGGGCGGGAGGGTGCAGAACCTGTGCACCAACTCCAGTTCTCATTCTGAGACGTGGGGAAGCTACCACAGGATTCCCAGCTGTGACAGGATCTGCTTTACACTTTCAGATACTATGGCTGTCATGCTAAAAACAGATTGCAATGGAGTATTGGTGGACCGATGTCACAAGCATATCAAAAAACAAACTCCGAACCCCATGGCGTCCAGCAGGAAGCTGTTATTCTCACACTGTACACGCAGACTGGTGTGCTCACAGACTGCACCTGGGCTGAGGGGCCCGGAACTTGATTATAGGCTACAGATTCACTTTTCAGGCTCAGGCTGAAACTGAGACTTCTGAGGCTCAAGCTGAAAACATGGCTGACACCTGGGGCAAGTTCTTTTCAGGATTATCTCATCAAAATACAAAAGGAAAATTGAATCTCATAAACACACTTAAGCCTCTACATGTTTCTCGCCTATTAACCTTAAGCCAAATTAGGCAATACAGTCAAGCCCAAAAACAGTGGTATGGGAAATATATGTTCTCTGTTGAGAGGAACTGGGGACTGACTATATGCTAATAAATCTTTTTTTTTTTTTTTGAGCACAAGGACAAAATATTGAATGCCTCAAATACTCAGGTGAGAATTAATAATGGCGTGACTGAGTAATAGCAAAATAAGTGCTGAGAATCATCAGGTTCTGAATATGTTCGAAAGTATGTTCAACTCAACTTTTTCCTTCCTCCTCTTTCTCCTCCTCCTCTTCTTCTTTTTCTTGTTTTTTGAGACAGGATTTTTCTCTGTGTATCTGTGTAACAGTCCTGGCTGTCCTATAACTCATTGTGTAGACCAGGCTGACCTCAAACTCACTGAGATCACCTGCCTCTGCCTCCCAAGTGCTGCGATTAAAGGTATGCACCACCATCCCGCAGCCAATTCAATGTTCTTATCTGTTAAATTTAGGGCATGAAAAAGAAAGGAAAGGAAAGGAATGAAAAGGAAGAAAGACAAGCAATAACAGCACTCCAATGTTTCTCCTAAGCATTAGGAAGTTGAAGGAGTTAGGAAAGAGTGCAGATGAGTGGTTCTTGAGAGGGAAATCAAAATTTAGCTTGGACGTGTGAATTTGAGGTGTCTGTAAGATACCCAAATAGTGTTAAATAAAAATCAGCTGAACATACAGGTGTGGTACTGTGGGATAATCTTTTGTACATTATAAAGATGTGTCTCTGCCTAAGGTGTCTTCTGATTGATTTAATAAAGAGCTAAATGACCGATGGCTAGGCACGAGAGACTAGACAGGCCTCCAGGGGAGAGAGAATTTAGGACCGTAGGAGATGCAGCAAGACACTGAGGAAGACAAACGTACAGAATGGAGGACAGACAAAAAGCCATGTGGCAGAACGTAGATGAATAGGAACAGGTTAATTTAAGTTAAAAGAGCTAGTTGGGAATAAGGCTAAGCTGGTGGTCCAAGAAAGTCCAACGAGAAAAAGTGACTGCAGTGTAGATTTATAGAAGTAACTCTAGGCTACAGACAGATTAAACAGTTTATAAACATACAGGAAATACTGAGCATGAGACTGGGAATGCATGTGGTCCTACAAGGCCATCATCCCAGCATTTGAAGGATGAAAGCAAGGGATCGGGATCAAAAGATCAATCTTGGCTACCCGGTGAGTATGAGACCAGAAGAAGCAAGAAGTGAAGAAAACCAGCAGATACTAAGAAAGCAGAAGCAATCAGGCTTAAAATGGAGATTAAGGGGAAATGAGAAAATGACTCTAAGGTTCTGATTGGCTTTTCTCTTTTGTTTTGTTTTTGAGATAGGGTCTCACCACACAGTCTAGGCTGGCCTCAAACTTCCTCCTTCCTCTGACTACAAAGTACTGGAACAATGCCTATGCTTAAAAAACTGGGTAGAATGGGTGCCATTCACTGAGACAAGTAAAAGACACCATGTTTCATTTTCAGTAATGTACTTACACATTTCGGCAAGCTATGGGCTTGAGAAAACCAACTTCATTTCCAGTAAAATGTGTTTCATTACCGCTGAAATCTTTACAAATTATGTTGGGTGCTGGAAAACATGGAACTAAAGACAGAAAAAGTGAATTTTTTTCCCTCAAGATTGGCAAAGCACAGAAGAACTTATAACATTATAACAAACTACTTCCCATTGTAATATGTGACAGAAGATTTTAACCTAGACTAGAAGTTAAAGAACTGTATTATATGTATGAAATGCATGGATATGAAAGGCAAATATGATAATGGTCTCTTCATACAATAATATAAACATTGCCACACTGTTTTAGATCTGTGCATGGAGTTCAGTCTTTGCCTCTAATAACAAAAGAACTGCAAAGTATTATTTTTTTTTAAATTTCCGCTCTAAGGTAGATACTTGAATTTTTGTTAGCAATATATTTGGCAATTATCAATTTATTTTAACATAATCTATGGTTTATATCTCCAGCTTATATTACTTGTGATGGCTAATCTTGACTGCAATAGAAACAGTCAAGAACTCTCTGAATTAAGGCTCCCTCGCTAGGGAAGACCGTCCTAAATGAGGACAAAGTGAGCTGAGCACCAGCATTCGCTGCTGCTTCCTCACTGTGGACATAACCATCTGCTGCCTCCTGCTCCTGCCTGTGCCACCTGACAATGAGGGAAAATATCTCCTTCCTTTATCGGTTTATCAGGTATTTCAACACAGCAACAAGGCAAGTAACTGGTACTATTGTACTGTACACTGTTTATGGCTTCCATAAACATATTTGGGTCTTGATTCCTTTTAGGTCTTAATACAGTGTTATTTCAGCATATCAATCCACACTCACAACCCAAGACACAATAAATTAGTAGTACAGATGTTACTGTGTGCCAGGCAGACACTGTCCTAAAAGTGTTACAGCTTCCTGGTGTAAAGAACTTTGAAGTAAGGATGACCTTATCTGGGTTATTTTTGTCTCTTTCAGCCTTTGAATTCCTTGTAGGTAAAAATAACACTAAGATCACCTACATCACAGGACCACTGTGGTTAAATATATAAAACTATATGCCATATATTATTTGTTTGTCTGAGACCAGGTCTCATAAAGCCCAGACTGGCATCAAATTGCTTGCACGTGGCCAAGGCTGACATTGAAGCCCTTCATTTCCCCACCTTCCCATCCCAAGAGCTGGGATTAAAGACGTGTGATGCCATGCCTAGCTTAATAAACATTTTCTTCTTCAACATCTGTGTGCACGTGCTACTAAGGATTGAATCTGGGGCCTAAGGCATGGTAGGCATGCACTCAACTACTGAGACAGAGCCTCTCAGTGAATGTTAAAAGTACTAATATTTTAGGGTAGTTTCAGCAAAAATTTACCTCTATAATTACCACCAATAATCATAGTTCTCTGGGTTTTAGTTTACTTTTTTTTTAATGTTAAAACTAGAACTCTGGATAATAAAATACACAAAGACTTTATGGCTCTATTATGAAAGGAAAATATTTTCTATTTGGTTTGTAATTATTCTAAGGCTTTTAACAAATCAGACTTTGTTTTGTTTTGAAGCCAGAGTAGTACATGAAAACGGTGATGGACGGGTGGTGGTGGAGCACACCTTTAACTCGTGAGGTAGAGGCAGGAAGACGTCTGTGAGTTCGAGGGCAGCCTGGTCCACAAAAACTAGTTCCAGGACAGCTAGGGCTACTAAACACAGAAACCCTGCCTCAAAATAAAATAAGTATCTTTAAAAAAAAAAAGAAAGAAAGCAGTGTCATAAAACTCTAGGAGATGTCCAGAAATTTCTTAGAATCCTCACAGTTCAAACCACACAATCCATAAAATTTTTATTTAATGTACTTTAAAAATATAAATCAAGGTGGCACTCAAGATAAAAGACACAGATTCAATTTAATTAAAAACTATCATATAAAATGAAGGAGAAGAAAGTAAAGAAGTAATCACATTAGCCTATTTTGCTAAGAAGAGAGACTGTTATCAAGACTCCTTGTAGTTAAGGCCAAAGCTTTACAATTACACAACTAAAAGAAAACACATCAGCCGGGCGATGGTGGCTCACGCTTTTAATCCCAGCACTCGGGAGGCAGAGGCAGGCGGATCTCTGTGAGTTCGAGACCAGCCTGGTCTACAGAGCTAGTTCCAGGACAGGCTCCAAAGCTATAGAGAAATCCTGTCTCAAAAAAACAAAAAAAAGAAAAAGAAAAAGAAAACACATCAACTCACCTGTAACCCACTGCAGTGACTTGTTCTGAACTATGATTTAAAGGATACAGAGTATAATAGAAAAAGCTTTCAATAAAAACGCTCACTCACAAAACAATTGTTTTTCCATATAGCTACTTTCACTATGACTTCAGATTACAGCAAGGTATATGTTCCTTTCTGGTTGCTTAAGGTTGTGAAGGTGGAGGTATGGAAGGTAGAATTGCTTTCTCAACAAAGACTAGGGCTAGTAGGGTTAGGGCTGTTTTAAAGCTTATGTTGAGTGTTTTGGTGGGTAGAATTCCGTGTATAATTATCGGGAAATAACCTAGGGAAGTTGAGAATAGGTTGACAGGTAAGGATTTGTTTGGTGAGAGGTTGGTTGTAAGGTTATTAAGTTCTAATGCTATGGAAAACCCTGCGATGGTGACTAGTAATGCTGTAGTTTTTAAGTATCATGGTACTGTTATGATTTGGACAGTTATACACAAGGCAGGTATACAAAGGGCAGGGAATGTACCAGCAGTTCAGTACTTGGCTAGCATGAGCAGGGCCCTTGATTCAGTCTTCCAAAAGAGAAAAAGAGCAAAAGAGAATACTAAATCTTTGTATGTACCACAGGCTGGCCTCAGCCTTTGAGTGCCAGAATTATAGGCAGGTAACTACACATGGATAGATCAGTAATTTTATGTCTTTTGGTTTTTACTTCTTGAGATAAGATACCAATCTGCAACCAGACTCATAATCCTCCTGCCTCAGGCTCCAAGTGTTAGAATTGTTTATAAGTGTGAGCCACCATGTCTGGCTTAGATCAACAATTCTTTTTTTTAATAATTTATTTAACTTTATTTTCTGTGCATTGGTATGAAGGTATCAGATCCCCTGGAACTGGAGTTACAGACAGTTGTGAGGTGCCATGTGGGTGCTGGGAATTGAACCCCAGTCCTTAGGAAGAACAGTCAGTGCTCTTAACCGCTGAGCTATTTCCCCAGCCCTCTAGATCAATAATTCTTAATTAAGGTGATTTTGCTCCCCAGAAGGTATCAGGTAATTCTTGGAGGCACTTTGGTAATTACCACAGGAGAGCTGCTACTAGCATGGCAGACAGTAGCCACAGACACCACTAGAACCCCAAACCATGAATTATCCAATCCAATGTTAACAAAACAAACGTGGTAGCATATCCCTGCAAACCCCTGTACCCAGAAAGCAGAGGCAAGAAGATCAGAAGTTCAAAGCCATTCTCCTGGCTCAAGACCAGTCTACTCTACATGAACCCCTCTCAAATTGAGATTGATACTCTTCAAAAAGTTTTGTTCTCAGCCAGGCAGTGGTGGTACACGCTTTTAATCTAAGTACTTGGGAAGCAGAGTCAGGTGGGTCTCACTGAGTCTGAGACCAGCCTGATCTACAAAGTGAGTTCCGGGAACAGCAGGACTGTTGCACAAAGAAACCCCGTACAAAAAAAAAGAAAAAATTTTTTGCTCTCATCATTCATTCCTAAATCATTTTTAAAGCTTCACATATCTGACATTTGAAATTTTTCATTATGAATTTAAATAGCTGGAAAAATGTAGTTTCCAGCACATTAAATTCTGTATTAAAATTACAATGCTATAGTATTATTTAAAATAAAATTGAAAATTTGATGTTCATCACCATCTTTGAAAAGGATCTTTTGTAAAATTAAGAAATCTTATTTCTGCTTGGTGGTGGTGACGCATGCTCTAATCCCAGCACCTGGGAGGCAAGGCAGGTGGATCTACTGTGAGTTCGAGGTTAGCCTGGTCTACAAAGTGAGTTCCAGGAGAGCTAGGGCAACATAGAGGGACTCTGTTTTTAGAAAAACAAACAAACAAACCTCCCATTTAAAAAAAATACATATATAATAGCATTTGTTATAGACTAAATTATGCCTTAAAAATAGGACCTTATTTGGGAAATAGGTTCTTGGCAGAGTTATCAAGTTAAGATAACATTATTAGAGTAGGTACTAACCTTTTATATAAAAAAGAAAATGGCCAGGCATGGTGGCACACACTTTTAATGCCAGCACTGGGGAGGCAGAGAGGCAGATGGATCTCTGTGAGTTCAAGACCAGCCTGGTCTACACAGTGAGAGCTACACTAGTCAAGGCTACATAGTGAAATACTGTCTCAAAAGAGGCAAAACAACAACAAAAATAAAACCAACACACAAACACACACACAAAACAACAAAAAAAACTGGATACATGGACGGAGGATATGAAGGCACACAGGGAGGATGGCTGTATGGAGGTGGAAGCAAAGATTGAGTTGGTCCAGTTGCTAGACAAGGAATGATAAGGATCTGTGGCTGTGTTAGGGCCTCTATTGCTCTGGAGAGACACCAAGACCACAGCAACTCTTATAAAGGAAAACATTCAACTGAGGTGGCTTGCTTACACTCCAGAGGTTCAGTCCATCAACATCATAGTGGGACATGGAGGAGGGCAGGCAGATATGGTGCTGGAGAATTAGCTGAGAGTCCTATATCTCGCAGGCGACAGGAAGTGGCCTGTCTTACTGGGTGTGAGTTTAGCACATATGAGACCTTGAAGCACAGCTCCATAGTAACACACTTCCTCCAACAAACCACACCTACTGCAATAAGGCCACACCTCCCAATAGTGCCACTTCTTTTGGGAGCCATTTTCTCTCAAACGACCACACTGGCTACCATCAGAAATGTGAAAGGAGGAAAAGGAAATAATTGTACTCTAGAGTCTGAGAGCACAGGGATCTGGAAACACTTTGATTTCAATTTCAAATTCCGAGCCTCAAGAGCACACATAAAGATGGAAGGTTAGGACCAATGCTACAAAACTGCCCATGAGCTCCACATATGGGCTGTGGCATGAGTGCGGCTGCACTTTCACATCCACTGTCTCAGCTAAGAGTGTCCACTGAGATAAAACACCAACCAAAATCAACATGGGAGGAGACGGCTGACTTCAGCTTACAGTTCCACAGCACAGCCCACCACTGAGGGAAGTCAGAACAGGAACTCAAGCAGGGTCGTAACCTGGAGGCAGGCGTTGATCCAGAGTCGATGAAGAGCGCTGCTTACAGCTCTTCCTCAGGGCTTGCTCACCCTGCACGGCCCGCAGAGAACTGGGCCTTCCCATATCCATTATCACCATAGGCCGATCTGGTGGGGGCATTTTATCAACTGAGAGTCCCTCTTCTAAACTGACTCTAGCTGTGTCAAATAAATACTGTCTCTAAAATAAACATAGTCTAAAATACCCTAAACATCTCAACTGCAAGTCCCTGTAAAATCAGACATAAGCTACTTTCTTACTCCAAGAGGAAGGAATCAGGCCACAGTCACAAATCAAAGCAAAACTAAAGTCCAACAGTTTAATGTAAGCTCAGTGTCAGGCTTCCTTAGGGATCCAAGGGGTGGGACCCGGTGGAGGACATAGGTCACTGGGCATGGCTTTGACTATCCTTATCTCTAGCCTGTCCTTTCTTTGCTTCCTGGCTACCAAAATGATGAGCAATTTTCCTCCAGCAAGCCTTTCCATTATAGTGTTTCTGTCTTACCACACGCCTAAAAGCAAGGGAGCCAGCCAGTGTAGTGATACTGTTTGTAATCTAACAAATAAAGCTTCCCCGAAGATCAGAAAAGCAACAACCAGCCATTAGCTTTTACTTCTACATCACACCAAAAGGGCGATCCTGTCTTCAGGAGTTCTCAGACTGAATGCTCTATGAAACTTCAGACTGTAGCCTCAGACTGAATCTTCAGACTGCATCTGAGCTTCTATGTCCTCCTACCTTATATTCCTCTCTCCACCCAGACATATCACTCCTGTCTCTACCTTCTTAGTGCTGGGATTAAAGGTGTATGATATGATACCAAGCTCTGGGACCACCTCTGTGTGAGCTCTGTTTCTCTTATAGACAACCTCAATCTTACATGGCCCAAGGTAGCCTTGAACTCACAGAGATCCGTCTGACTCTGTCTCCCAAGTGCTGGAATTAAAGGTGTGTGCCACCACTGCTTGACCTCTATGGTTAACTAGTGGTTTAGCTGTGCACTCTGATCTTCAGAAAAGCTTTATTTGTTACAAAACAAAATATCACTATAAGCCAGTCATGGACTGAAACTTCCAAAACCATGAATCAAAAACAAACCTTTCCTCATTTCATTTTTTATCTCAGATATGTTATCCCAGTGACAAAAAACTAACACATGTGGGACACATTTCCTTGTTAGACAGCCTTTTAGCTCTGTCTGCAGACTATCTAAAGTCAGGTCTTCAAAAGACAAAACAGTAGTTTTTTAGTCTAATTATAATTTTTTCTCTTTTCTTTTAAGAGATAGGGTTTCTCTGTGTAGCCCTGGCTGTCTTAGAATTTGCTCTGTGGACCAGGCTGGGCTCAAACTCAAAGATCCACCTACCTCTGCCTCCAGAATGCTGGGGTAGGCTGTGAGGTTTCAGAATTCCCTAGGTCTACTTCTCTCTTGCTGCTGCTGATCACAATGCAGAGTCTCAGCCCTTCTCCAGCACATGTCTGCCTGTGTGTCGCCATGCTCCCAGTCACGATAATGAACTAAACCTCTGAAACTATAAGCACACTCCCAATTAAATGATTGCTTTATAAGAGTTGCCATGATCAGCCAGACAGTGGTGGTGCATACCTTTAATCCCAGCACTTGGGAGGCAGAGGCAGGCAGATCTCTGTGAGTTCGAGACCAGCCTGATCTACAAGAGCTAGTTCCAGAACAGCTAAGGCTACGACACAGAAGAAGCCCTACCTTGAAAAACAAAAACCAAACCACACGCCCAAGGGTGGGCAGACGGCTCAGTGAGTAAGCACAGTTGCTGCCAAGTCACCTTGGCTTGACACCTGGGAACAGGGTAAAAGGCGAGAACTGACTAGGGCAGGGTCTCCTGACCTCAGCACACGTGTATTGCATATTCCCAGCACCTACACCCACTGGTAACGCCAGTTCCAGGGGATCCAATCCTCTCTTTTGACTTCCACAGCCTCCTGCATGCACATAGTACATATACATCTACTCAGACACATACACATAAAATTTTTCAAAAATTTTAAATAAGAAAATGGAACATATAAAAGCCCTAAGTAGCTGGGCACCTGTGGTACTTTGAATAAAAATACCCCACCCCATAGGCTCATATATTTGAATGCTTCATAATCAGGGAGTGGCACTATCTGAGAAGGATTAGATGTGCTCTCTGCCTGTGGATCTGGATGGAGCTCTCTGCTATGGCTCCAGTGCCATCTCCGCTGCCATGTCCTTGCCCTGATAATGGACTAAACCTGTAAAACCACAAGGAAGCCCCCAGTAAGGGTCGCCTTGGCCATCGTGTCTCTTTGTAGCAATAGAGCAGTGACTAAGACAGCAGGGTGGGACACACCTTTAATCCCAGCGCTGGGGAGGCAGAGGCGGGAAGATTTCTGTAAATCTAAGGCTTCCACAGTGAGACCTTGTCTTAAAAAGAGATGGAAACAAAACAACAAAAAAACCCTGACTAAAGAACTATATTTAGATTTCTGTAACAAAGCTTGGGAAGTAAAAAACTAAAGCTATTTAAAGAGAAAGATATGCTTATTGTGATTTAAGTATTATACACATACCCCAAAATATTTCATCATACAATATGTTCAATAGCTATGTTTCATATATCAAGTAAAAATAAACTTAAATAAAAATTTAAAGACATGAGCTAAATAAGCAGATTCTAAAGTTTTAAATAAGTATTAAATAATAGAAAACACCCCAGCTTATAAATTAAGAAAAATTGCTTTTCAACTTAAAAAGTAAGACTGGCTATAACTCCGGAAGAGCATGCAAGAATTCCTAGGTTCAATCCAAAGCACCAAAATTAATTAGTAAATTAACTAATCAATTAGTTGAATATTTACAATTTTTAAACAGTTTCCAAATCTAAATTGTTCTGAAAACTGAACAATCATGTCTAACACAACATAAAACATATTTAATAATTACCCTTAGGGTTTATGCATTATTCTTTGAAGTAGGTAAAATGTTATAAAATATTTTAAAGAAACGATTCTGGAAATCTTACCATGAGCTGTGTAGTTTGTACAGTTAACTGGTTCTTGGGTAGCATCGTTTATTTTTGGTTCTTTACAAATATATGTTTAAAAAGTTAAGGAAATTTGAATTATATTTCTAGCATAGTGTTTTAAATGTCTTATAACTCCTATTGATTCACATGAAAATAGAGACTTTATTGCATTAGTCAACAAATTGAAATACAAAAACACTTTTTTTTTTTTTTGGTTTTTCGAGACAGGGTTTCTCTGTGGCTTTGGAGCCTGTCCTGGAACTAGCCACCGCAGCCCGGTTTACAAAAACACTTTTAAACCTGGTGTGGGGATGCATTCCTTTTATCCCAGCATTTGGGAGGCAAAGGTTTGTGGATCTCTGCGAGGTCAAGGTCAGCCTGGTTTACAGAGTGAGTTCCAGGACAGCCAGGGCTAAACTGAGAGAGAGACCCTGTTTCAAAACAAAACAAAACAAACCTAAATATACTTTTAGTGTTACTTAGATAATAGTTGAAAATTAAATTATTATAGAAAAGTTGTATAAAATAAATTTCTACCAAAAGTTCTAGCAGATGATGCCATCTTCAGAGAACAACAATTAGGGAATAAACACAAAGCAACAATCAAATTAAAAATCTTGCCCAGCAGTGTGGTCTCATGTCTTTAATCCCAGTGCTACAGAAGGCAGAAGCAGGTAGATCTGAGTTCCGGGATAGCCAGGGATATACAGGGAAACCCTGTCTCAAAAAAACTTAAATAAATAAATAAATACCTTGACAAAATTATTTTAAGTTTAAGAGCGAATCAGTTTCCAGAGCTCTGGATTCAACCAATTCACACTTAATTTCCTGTAACACAAAGAGGCAAGGAAGACACCATCTGTTATTCCTATACCACAGAGGCACAGATGAGGGTCAAACTTGGAGTGGCTTATCTAGCCCTGTGGAAGACAGGCAGACACACCAGGTATCCTGGTTCCAAGCCTGGGACACTTACATCTGACTTCAGGAAGGTGGCTGTTTTTCGACTTCAGTAGGATTTTAAGTTTCTGACAACCCCTCTCCTAGGTGCGAAACCAGTGAGCACGTTTTCAAGTTTTACTGTCTAAAGATGTTACGATTCACACTCCAACGGAGTCGGTGTGGCACATACAAGATGTCTCTAGTCACGGCCCGACTCTTTCTTAGGGCTTCTAAGTCACTCCTGGAAATTCCGTCTTTAGTTAGGCCATGAAGACAGTGTGCAGAGTTCTACAGCTCAGTCACTTCTTAGGACACTCGTGTTTTTCCTAAGACAAGGCCAAACTCAGTATGTCAGAAACTCCGTGCTTGTTGGGATTAGCAAATTCTGACATCGCCTGTGAAAGTCTAATAGATGCCTCTCCTCAATTCGCATGCAGATGCTATAAAATTTTCTGAATTTTAACATTTTTCCTAGTCTTTCTTGCTTCTGCAGGTTTGAGCATCTGTAGACAAATGTTTGAGGCATTGTGTCAGTACTCAGTTTTGCTCAAACACAGTGACTTGAGTATAACACACATTTCACCTTGTTCCTCTATTTCAATTCTGTTGTAATAAGACAATTTACCTAATCCTAATTCAGATTTGTCATTTGTAAATAACAGCACAAGTGCTGCGCTAATTAATATAAATGCCCTTAAGTCGAGTGTCCCTGATACCAGCATGTTTTATTCATGAGAAAATAGGCATAAATAATTTGCTCATTCAAGAGCCCCCATCCCTAACTGAGGAACTATTGCCAGTGGATGGCTTCTCAGTTAGACAGTCATAGTTTTAAGAGCGTGGTCAGTCATGCATGCTTCAGTGGACAGCCCACACCTCTAACAGGGATCTGGCTCCCTAGGGTTTTTTTTTTTTTTTTTTTTTTGGTGGGGGGAGCGTTAAGAGGGAGTGGGACAGTTGAATCGGGTCTGAAAGGAGTTGGAGGTCGAAAAGTCGCTGTGACTATATTCAAATTCCTCTGGGTGAGATTCTCACAAAATATTAATATAAGTATTACATTTTAAAACATCTGAGGGGATCTCTTATTTTAAAACATAAAATGATAATTGGTCTAAGATCACAATTGCCTGGCAGTTCATCTGGGGATGGCTGGAGGTGATACGTGTAACGTTAACGACAAACGAGAAACATGCACCACTGGCTCCCTCGTAATATTTGTCTCCCTTGACACCTGCGAACTTTCAGGGAGGCGTCTATCAATTTTTGCAATCCCAGTCCCTGGGACAAAGCAGGGATGTGCGTTTGAATAAGCGAGCGCACCGGTAAAAACCCAGCCCATCAGAAAGGGAAGTGCCAGCCACTGGTCGGGCCAGGGAAGGACCGCAGGGCTCAGCCCTCGGTCTCCACAGCCCGCTAACCCTCCCGGGGTCCATTGTCCCTAGGGCCACCGCCGAGGCCACGGTCCCCAGCCCACAGCCCCGGGTCCTGCTGAGCGCCTGACAGGGGCGGCTCTCCGGAGGATATTGTCCCACTCTGAGGTCCTCACACTTGGGCGTCTCCTCGCTCCCGACGGCGCCGGAGGCAGCAGCCCCCCAGTGTCCCGCGGCGACCGTCACGAGCCACAGAGTGCGAAGGAGGCCCGGAGGCCCCGCCGCTGGGGAAGCCCGACCCGCGGGCCAGGCGGCCACCATGACGGGCACCGCGTCCTCGCGCTTCCGGTTCCGCCTCCGAGATGAGGAAAGGCCTTAAAGGGGCCTGGCTCCAATGGGGCAGCCTGGGTCTTCGGAAGGCTGCTCCCTGGAGTAAACGCTAGCGAGATTTTTTTAAAAGTATGTTCTCTTGTCATACTTGAACAGGGGCCATGCTAATTTCTGTATCGTTCCAATTTTAGTATATGTGCTGCCAAAGCAAGCAAGGGAATTAATATATATATACACCATGCTGGGAAGATAGCTCAATGGGTAAAGGCACTTGTTCTGAGTCTGACATTCTAAATTCAATCACTAGGACCCACAAGGTAAAAGGAGAAAACTGACTCCCACAAGTTGTCTTCTGCCCTCCACACATGTGTTGTAGCACAAACATAAAATTAAATAAATAAATAGATAAATAAATAAATTGAATATAATAAATACACAATCAGGGGCCTTCCCAGGTAGGATTCCCTGAATCTCCTCGTGATGAGCCACAACAGGCACTTAAGTAAGAGAAGGACCCAGTGTTCACCTAGGTGCTTGTCCCAGGTCCTAGTGGGCACCACTATTGGATACCCCAAAGGATAGAGGTTTCCCTATGGTTGGAAGAATTTGGATTTTGTTTGTCTAGAAGCCTCTGAAAGCACATTCTCCTCTGACCAGAGTGTGATTACTTCCTACACGTTACACAACGTTACAAGACAAAGGACTGGAGTTCAAGGACTATGTAAAATACAAGGCTAAGAATCAGAAAATCCGCGGGGCAGTGGTGCTACACACCTCTAGCCTCAGCTCTCAGGAGGCAGAGGCAGGTGGATCTTTATGAGCTCGAGGTCAACACACTCTACGCGGTGATTCCTGGGACAGTCAAACCTACACAGGAAAACCCTGTCTCAAAAAACAAAACAACACACACAAAAAAAAATCCGAATATTGGTAGTGGAGAGATGGCTCTAGAGTTGAGAACATTTGTTGTTTTTACAGAGGACCTGCTTAGTACCCAGCACCCATGTAGTGGCTAAAGACCTCGCGGAATTCCAGTTCCAAGGGACCCAAGGACCCCTTCTGGCGGTGGTGGCTCACACCTTTAATCCCAGCACTTGGGAGGCAGAGGCAGGTGGATCTCTATGAGTTCGAGGCCAGCCCAGTCTGCAAGAGCTAGTTCCAGGACAGGCTCCAAAGCTACAGAGAGAAACCCTGTCCTGAAAAACCAAAAAAAGAATCAAAATATCAATCACACATCTTACAAGATGATAAAAGCAACTTTTTGTTTAACTTCTACTTGGACTTGGAATGCTCTAGTTGATTTTTAAGATACAACATAAAGAAAACCAAAAGACTAAAGGAAGCAGTTTTGTGGTTCAGGTTTATTGAAATTGTGTCAAAATTAGATGGTTTCCTGCTGAGTGCAAGAATACTGCTGATCTGTGTATCAATTTTAGTGCAGATTTAAAACAATTACTTAGAACTGCTGATGCTTGGCTGATTAATCCCATTATGGAATCTATTTTTATGGTTTTAATGATTATCTTTATTCTCTTCTATGATATGTAAATGTGAAAGAATTAAAAGGTTTCTATAAGACAGCAACGAAGCTCTAAAACTTTTGACTCTTGAGTGGGAAGGTGGTGGAGTTGCCTAGCAAGCACAAGTTTCTGGACTTAGTCTCCAGCAACTCTTGAACAGAAAATTGACTCTTGAACTGGTGACGTATTACAGTATTGAAGATGTATCACTTCTTCAGAATAGCCCTTAAATCTGTTATTTGTCTGTAAATGAGGTAACTTTTCTTTTTGTAGTCTAGTGATCTCATGAATTACCATGATCACATAACTGCTACATTACTGAAACTTTGATGAGAACTGAAATCTCATTATTTTTAACACCAAGTTTCTTTGTCATATAAAGTGTAGACTTCTACTGAAAGCAAAGGGTATGAATAGCAGCCTCACTATGTATCTTAGCTATGCTAGAACTCACTAGATAGACGAGGCTGACATGGGACTCAGAGAAAGCTGCTTGCCTCTGCCTCATGAATTCTGGGATAAAACATAGGTATTACCACGCCCAGTTACATTTTCCCTAAGATTTCATATAAATGTATCTTCATTCATTAAAGATTAGTTTTGTACATAGCAAATGTCTAAGAAAACAACCCAATACCTATTTCTGTTGCTATAACAATATATGAGATACAAGATTGTTACTCAAATCTTTTTTTGTATTTGACTATATATAACATGAAATTTTTCCCTTGGTAATAACATCAGGAATCTTCTATATCCTTAGTACATCATTTAATTTTGGGCATCATTTAATTCTATAACCATACTCCTGCTTCACAACTGTTATTGCATACTTTGCTGCGGGTAACTGAATCACCACTTAAGGCCTGTTCACGACTGGGGAAATGTGTTTTTGTTAGGTGTTCATCTCAAAAGTACAAGGAACTGAGTTTGATTCCCCAAGAGCTATGAAAACAAACTCCTGGGGTGTGGTGACATTTTTGTAATTCTTTTAATTCAAGTACTAAGGAGACAGAGACAAGCTGATTCCTGATCTCTGGGGCCTGCTGGACAGTCAGCCTAGCCTAACTGGCTCCGGGTACATTGAGAGATCCTAGCCCCCCAAAACAGTGGATGGCTCCTGAAGAGTGAACCCAGGGTTCACCTCCAGACTCCACACACAGACTGGTGCAACCATTCTGGCATCTGCAGCCACCCGCTGCCCTCCCCCAGCACAAAATAAAGCCCACTCTTCTTTTTAAACTGTTTTTTAGATTTATTTTTATATTATGCATATGAATGTTTTGCCTGCATGCTTATGTGTATACCATGTGCATGCCTTTTGTTTCCATTGAACCTGGTGTTATGGGTGGCTGGGAGTCACTCTTTGAGTGCTTGGACTCGAACCTCAGACCTCTGCAAGAGCACAAGTGCTCTTAAGCACTGAGCTAACCTCTCAGCTCCAAGACCTACTCTTACATGGCAAATATATTTAATCTTGAATGCCATGTGGAAGATCTAAAACTAATTTTACCAGAGTCCTCCTCATAAAACAAAATAAACCGTCTCTTCTACATTTCACTACCAATATCTCCTATCAGATTCAAAACTTGGAATCATAGCTAGACACTTCTTTAACCCCGGCAATTGGAAGGCAGAGGCAGGCAGATCTCTGCAAGTTTGAGGCCAGTCTGGTCTACAAAGCGAGTTCCAGGACAGCCAGGGCTGTTACACAGAGGAACCCTATCTCGAAAAACAAACAAACAAAAAACAAAACAAAACAAAAAAACAAAAAGCCAAACTTGCAATCCGGTGCTGGGAAGATGGCTCAGTGAGTAAAATGCTTGCTGCACAAGCATGAGGGTTTGCATTTAGGTTGCTAGCACCCATGTAAAAAGCTTGGCAAAGTGATGCACGCTGTAATGTTTGTGCAGTGGAGGAAGAGAGAGGTAGGCCCCTGGGGCTTCTTAGCCAGCTAGTCTAGCTAAATCTGGGAGCTCCACGTTAACTGAAAGAGCTGGTTTCAAAAATAAGGTAGAGAAGTAATAAAAGGAATACACCTGACATTCGCCTCGGGACTCCACTGAGCACACATGTGTATATTGACCACATCTGTACATTTTACACATAAAATTTGGGAACGTTTTAATCTTCAGTTTTCTCCATGCTTTGCAATATCTTCATCTAATCATTAAGGAACTAATATCATTGTTTGTGCTTTTACTAGGGAGGCAAAAAGATAATAAAAAAATAAAAATAATAAAAAGGATCTTGCTATGTAGCCATGCTGGTCTGGAACTTAATAACAGGATTCTCCTGTCTGTTTCCTGGTGAGGGACCCGTCTCTCCTGACTATCCTCTCTTTCTTCCTCTTTCTCCTTCTCTTTCCTCCTCCTCCATTGTCATCATCTTCTTCATCTTTGTCTTCTTTCTCCTCCTCCTCCTCCTCTTCTCCTTTTTTTTTTTTTTTTTTTTTGAGACAGGGTTTCACTGTGTAGTCCTGGCTGACTTGGCACTAGCTCTGTAGAACATGCTGGCCTCAGACTCGAATTTAGATGCCCACCTGCCTCTGCTTCCTAAGTGCTGGGGTTAAAGGCGTGTGCCAACACCACCTGGCTGTCAAAACTCTATCTGCACACTATTTCATGTTTTGTTTCCTATATCCTTTGCTACATTGGTCGCTTTTGTTTTATTATACACCTCCTCTTTCCAAGGTACTCAATCCATTTTGCACCAGTTTCTAGACAAATCTCTCTCTTTTTTTTAAAGATTTATTTATTATGTATACAACATTCTGCCTGCATGTATGCACACACGCCAGAAGGGGGCGCCAGATCTCATTACAGATGGTTGTGAGCCACCATATGGGTGCTGGGGATTGAACTCAGGGCCTCTGGAAGAGCAGCTGGTGCCCTTAACCACTGAGCCATCTCTCCAGCCCCCCAAATCTCTCATTTTAAAAGAAAGTCTCGATACCTAAAATTTTATTATTAAAAGTTTTCAGGGATGAAGGAAGTGGCATAAACCTGTTGTGTTGGTTAGTTTTATGTCAACTTGATATAAACTAGTAATCTGAGAGGCCGGAACCTCAATTAAAAAAATGCTTCCAGTAGACCCAGCTGTAGACTGACCTGTAGGGCGTTTTCTTAACTAGTGATTGATGAGGAGAGGGCCCAGCCCATTGTTGGTGGTGCCATCCCTGGGCTGGTGTGCTGTGGAATAATCTTTTTGTACACTGTGAAGAAGGTTTGCTCTCTTTGGGTTAGTAAAGAGCTAACTGGCTGGATGAAAGGAGACAGAGACAGAGACCCACATTGGAGCACCGGACTGAAATCTCAAGGTCCAAATCAGGAGCAGAAGGAGAGAGAGCACGAGCAAGGAACTCAGGACCGCGAGGGGTGCACCCACACACTGAGACAATGGGGATGTTCTATCGGGAACTCACCAAGGCCAGCTGGCCCGGGTCTGAAAAAGCATGGGATAAAACCAGACTCGCTGAACATAGCGAACAATGAGGACTGCTGAG